CCTAGGTGATTCTGAGCCAATGACCAGGAGATTGTGACTTCTAGTTTCGCCTTAGCCATGAAAGCCAGCTGGGTGACTTTGAGCCAGTTCCCCCACCACCCTCAGCCAGCCTACCTCACAGGGTGGTTGTTGTGGGAAAAACAGGACGAAGATAGTGTGTTGGACATGTTCAGTGCCTTGAGTTATTGGTAAAAACAATAAAGGCGGGATATAAACAAATAAAAAAAAATATGCCCTCTGGCTTTATCGTAAGACCCAAATGATGAATATCCCTGGTAAAATGAAAGGCAGATTTCACAGACTCCATTAAAATATATATATATATAGGGCTATAACAACCGTTTTGAAAGTCTCAAAAACACATTTTAGACCTAAGAACCACCCAACTGTCACACGGTTATGCTCTTCAAACGTGCAAGTCAGCAGTTCACTGTGCCTGCATCTCAAACGCCTACTTCCTAGTCCGAAACAAGAGGGCAGAAAGATTTTCCCCTTGCTCCGAGGCTGGCCACAAATATGCAAACTGAAGCGTTTTTTCCTTAATCACCGCAAAGTGACTGTTTACATTACGGTCAGCACAACTTGAAGTGGATTGATTGCCAGGGTTTATCACTGATATGTAATTATTCCTGGGCCATAAAGAATTCCACCGTGGCTTCTTCCGAAATCAACTTGGTTGGGAGCCATGGCCCATATCGAGGACCCGCGACCTCAAACAATACTTCCCGCCAGGAGGGCTCAAAACAAGACTTTTAACGGTATAAGTATTTTTTAGTGGAGCGCTTCGGTTGGAAAGAGGAAGGATTTTGACCCGGCTTATCTCAGCCCTGTCAGACTCAAGAGACGTGGTCCAGAAACACTGAAGTCTCCCACCCCACCAAATCACCTGTCTCCCCACAAGTCCGGTTCAAGAAACACCCCTTCTGACCTTCACTGCAGCGACACCCCAATGGCAGGCGCATCGCCTGCCTGCAATTTGGCAGTTTGATTCTCGCCGGGTTCAAGGTTGACTCAGCCTCCCAACCTTCTGAGGCGAGTAAAACGAGGACCCAGATTGTTGGGTGATCACTAAAGTGCTATTTGCTAAGTGCTATTGCCCTTCCTTCCTTCCTTCCTTCCTTCCTTCCTTCCCTCTCCTCTTCCTTTCCTTCTTTCCTTTCCTTTCCTTTCCTTTCCTTTCCTTTCCTTTCCTTTCCTTTCCTTTCCTTTCCTTTCCTTTCCTTTCCTTTCCTTTCCTTTCCTTTCCTTCCCTTCCCTTCCCTTCCCTTCCCTTCCCTTCCCTTCCCTTCCCTTCCCTTCCCTTCCCCTTTTACCTTCCCAGTGATTAGAATGTAATATTTCAGGCTAACTCTGCCCACAGCCAGCAATTTGATTCGCACTAACTCAAGGTTGACTCAGCCTTGCGTCCTTCCCAGGTGGATAAAATGAGGACCCAGATTGTTGGAGGACAAGGGGCTGACTCTGTAAACTGCTTAGAGAGGGCTGTAAAGCAATGTGAAGCGGCATATAAGTCTAAGCGCTGTTGCTATACAGTCTTGAGGCCTCCTATGATAACTACAAGAATTCCTCGAGTTACGACAGTTTGTTTAATGACCATTCAAAATGACCACGGCACCGGGGGGGAAAAAAACGACTTATGATTGGTTTTTCACACTTGCAGCATCCCCAGGATCACGTGATCAAAATCCAGATGCTTGGCAACTGGCTCCTATTTATGACCGTCGCAGTGATCCCCTTTTGCAACCTTCTGACAAGCAGAATCAAAGAGGAAAGCCCGATTCATTTAACCACCGCGTTACTAACTGAACTGCAGCGATTCACTTAACAAACTGCGCGGCAAGAAAGATCGTAAAAACGGGGCAAAACTCACTCAACCATTGTCTCGCTTGGGCTCAGTTGTGGTCGTAAGTTGAGAACCACCTGCCTCTTAGTCTCTTCTTCCCTAAATTCATTCCATCCTTTTCAGGCTCAGTCAATGTGGGGTGAATGTGGGAAAGGGGCTTCGGAGGGGAAAGTTAAAACCTCCTGACTCGCTATAGGACTATCCATTTGGCAGCCTTAATTTCGGATGAAACAGAGCAACTTGAACCACGCTAAGAAAAGGAACCATTTGTCTGTTAGAACTAATAAACAGAGTGACTTCCCCGGCAAGTCTGAGCTCCAGAATTTATTTCCTTAGGAGGGTCTGTTCAGGTTTACACACGGCCCGGATTTTGCTTTTCAGCGGCTGGGCTGGCTGGAAAAACAATATTTTCTTGCTAAACTGCAAGTCATCCAGATTTACCTCCGACTTGGTTCAGCTTTTGGTTTCAGTACCTTCTCTCTCTAAGCCCGAATACTTTCGTTTGGCAAAGATTCCAGAAAGTGGGGGGGGGGAGATAGAGAAAGAAGGAGAGGGGAGGGAGGGGGAGAGGAAGAGACAGAGGGAGGGAGAGAAAGAGGGAGATTCATATTCTCTTTCGCTCCCCCCTAAAACCACGTTCCACAAGAGTTACCTCCCCGAGCATGCGAAAGAGCAAAAAACGGATTGCGATTTCTGTTTCCAGGATTGTTTCTTTCTTTCTCACTCCTTCCACCTTCTCGTCTCTAGGATAACCCTAAAGGGCGCTTCAAAGTGGCCTTTGCTTCTCAGTGGTGGCCTCTCCCTTCCTCTTGCCTGGATGGGCTCCCCTCCCCACCGGAGTCTCCAATCTCTTATCCTCCCCGGGGAAACCCATTATAGACCAGCAGTATAAACCCCCCGTGCAGATATCCCAGGGGTTCGATCTCTCCCCTAGCAGGAACCGTCAGCCCTGCCCCGCAGGCTCCTGCAATTAATTCAAAAGGACCACCAGCGTGAAATCTCTTCCAACTGCCATCAAAGGACACCCCTCCTCTTTTCTACCTGGCGCCTGCATTCGCACAACCCTTCTGCTCCTCTGCTTTTAAAGTTGCATAACCCCTGAAATCTCTTCCTCCTGCACCCTCGCAGCCTGTCCCTTCGTACACACGCTGCTCCTGGTGCCATTCCCAGTTTCTGGTCTCTTTGGAACCAGCAGTTATTCCTCTCCGAGCCTCGGTCCCTGTCTCCCCCCCACCCCACCAAGCAGGTCCAAAACCCTCCCCACGCTCCCACCCTCTCTTCCGGGTCTCTTCCTCCTCCAAATCCCACCGCATTCAGTAACCTCCCCTCGATGTCCTGCGTTGTCCACCTCCTTTGCCAGAAAAGTCTCATTCAAGAGGCATCTCTCGCACCCGAGACCCATCCCGCGTGTCCCACCGAGGCATCATTTCTCACGAGGGGTTGGGGTATCTCTGCCCGAAAGGCCCCTTTCCCCTCCCCACCACCTCTGCCCAAGAGGCCCAACACCAAAGAGGTTTGACCTCCAACTTCTCGCCCCAATCGACTTCGGCCCCCAAGAACAAACCTCCTCTTTTGTGCCCGTCGAACAGGAATCCTTTCACCCATCCTGCCTCTCCCGACAAAATTCCACACTTCCCCCTCCCCTTTCCAAAATTTTCAAGCAGGATCTGTCCTAATCCTTAAGTTACATAACAAGGCACATGGGTCCACAATCAGATCATCTTTCTCCAAAGCGATTCCACCCCCCCCCCCCAAAAAAACCCCCACACACGCCTTCTCTCCATCCCAAGCTAACGTTTCTCCTGTAAACCCATCCTTTCTCTCCCAGGAGGAGAGATTCTCCTTGGAATTCCTTTTTTTTATTAACCTGTTAGGACCGTTTGGTCCAAGAATGAATGATATCACCAACGCCTCCCTCTTGCAGAAGAGGACCGATGACCCCTACCCAGAGGGGATCATACAGAGAAAAGGCTGAGGGGTTTCCTTCCACGCCCCCTCCCCAGCAAACTGACCCCAATGTAGGTCGCAGGGACACACTCGTGCAGGGACACAGATCCGATGAGGAGCATCTCAAGGGCTGGTGTGTGTGTGTTTTGCAGCCTCGCGCCTGGGAGAAAAGGAATTTGGGGACCCAGCAAGGATGCGCTGCTCCCAATCCCAGGATTATGTAACAGTTGCCTCGGAGTGACAGGATGGAGAGCCAAGCAGGAGGGAGGAATCGCGGTAATGGGAGAGGCCATCCTGCTGCATGCATCCTTGCAGCCACCATGTAAGGGTAGGGGGGCGCCCAAGGGCCATCTATCTGCTCCAACCTAGTCGGGCGGCGGGCAGTGGGGGGAGGCTGTCATCTGGAAGGATGATGGAAAGGAGATCTGGCAAATACAGAAGAATCGAGCGAGCCTCCAGCATCCCTTCCACCATCACAGCCTCGGCTCCCGCAGCCACGTTCCTCCCCAACCTGGTGCCTCCCAGGTGTGCCAAGGGGACCCTAACCTCCATCATCCCCATCCTGTCAGTCTGGAAGGGAGGGGGGGGGAAGAGGCATTTGATGGAGGAGGAGGAGGAGACCTGGCAAAGAAAGGATGAAGCAAGCCCACCAGCAAAGGGACCCCAACCCCCATCATCCCCGTCTCGAAGAGAGGCACGATGAAGGAGACCTGGCAAATCCAGAGCAAGGAAGGATCACGCAAGACCCCTCCAACCCATCAACCCCTCCACCACCCCGTCACCATCGCAGCCACCTTCCTCCCCAACCTGGTGCCCTCCAGGTGCGCCAAGGGAATCCCCCCCCCCCCCGCGCCCCATCCTCTCCATCCCGCCCCTTCCATCTTATTTTGGGGGGGGGGAAACACGGGGAATCGGGGGTCTTCATGGTCCATCGGGAGGGCAGCAGCCCACCCGGGAAAGCGGATTCAACCTCATCCCCCCCCCGCCGCCCCGCCGCGGGGGTGGGGGTGTTTCTCGACGACGCCAAAGCAGAGAGCAGCGGGGAGCCCCGGAGAGGGGCGTCCCGACGTGCAGATGCGTGTCGCGGGCCAAGAGGGTCGTGAGGACGCCCCCCCCCCTCCCCGATCCCGCGTGTTCCGACGCCTCCCGCGCGTGGGAAGGCCCTTCTCGCGGGGAGGAGGGGAGGCTTGAAAACGAGCTCGGCCGGTACCTGCTCCTCGCGGACCGCGCTGCTCCGCCGGGGCCCGGCTGCTTCCCCCCCGCCCGGTCGGCAGGGGCCGGCTGCGTGGACGGCACTGGGAGCGGGGCTGCTCCGGAGGCGCTGGCAGGTCCGTCCGGGACGGCCACGACTCGCGAGGGGGCGACTGGAGAGGCGTCGGACCAACAGCGGCGGCGGCGGCGGCGGCGGGCGCTTTATAACCCTCGACTCCTCGGAAACCGTCTCCGCGCAACGCTTCCGCTTCCGCCCCGCCCCTCGCGCCCGCCCCTCTCATGAATATGCAGAAGGAGGGGCGGGGCGGGGTGGCCGGCCGGCCGGCCGAGGCGCGTGGCCAATGAGGGGGCGTGGGGAGGAGCGAACCCCACAATACCTCACCCCCCCTCCTCCTCTTCGCCCGTGGCACGCGCGCCCTGATTGGCCGCGCGGGCGCGAAGGTGCGGTGGTGGGCCAACCTGCGGAGTGGATGACGTCGCGCCTGGGGGGGGGGGGCAAGGAGGGAAAGAGCGGTCGCAGGCACGTGACCCGACTCGCGGGGCGGGGCGGGGGAAATCCTCTCCCGCCGGCCTACCTCGCGGGGTTGTTGTGAGGAGGGCGGAAGAGAGGCATTTTTGGGGGATCCTTGCGGGACAATTGGGAGAGGAAGGCCGTGGAAGCAGGGGTCTGAGGGACTCTCCGTCCAAGCAAAGGTGTGGGGGAGAGCTTTAAATCTGGCGTTATTCAGTTAATCCTCGATTTGTGGCTGTCATCGAGCCCAGAGTTTATGTCACTAAGTGAGACAGCGGGTTAACTGAGATTTGAGCCTCATTTTACTACCTTTCTCACCTTGGTTGTTAAGTGAATCGCTGCCACTGCTGTTAAGTTAGTACAGGTAGTTCTCGACTTACAACCATAATTGAGCCCAATGTTTCTGTTAAGGGTGACATAATGCCCATTAAGTGAGGCAATTATTAAGGGAGTTTTGTCCCATTTTACGGCTTTTCTTGCCACTGCTGTTAAGTGAATCACTGCAGCTGTCCAATGAGTAACACGGTCGTTAAGTGAACAACTGCCGCCATTAAGTTAGTACTGGTAGTCCTCGACCTATGAACATAATTGAGCCCAAAATTTCTGTTGTTAAGTGAGATATCTGTTAAGTGAGTTTTGCCCCATTTTACGAGCTTTCTTGCCACAGTCGTTAAGTGAATCACTGCAGTCAGATGCTTGTTAAGTGCATCTGGCTTCCCCCTTGACTTGGCTTGTCAGAAGGTCGCAAAAGGAGGATCACGTGGCTGTTATAAACATGAACCAGTTGCCAAGCACCTGAATTTTGGTCACATGATCACGGGGCTGCTACCAAGGTTGTAAGTGTGAAAAACGGCCGTAAGTCCCTTTTTTCAGTGCCGTTGTAACTTTGGATGGTGACTAAATGAACTGTTGTAAGTCGAGGACTACTTGTAGTACAGCTGTTAAGTGAATCTGGCCTCCCCATTGACGTTGCTTGTTGGTAGGTCGCAAAAGGGGATCCTATGATCACAGGACACTGCAACTGTCATAAATACGAGTCAGTGGCCAAGCCCTTGAATTATCATCACACGACCATGGGGATGCCACAATGGTCGTAAAGTGTGAAAAATGGCCAGGAGTCACTTATTTCAGTGCTGTTGTAACCTTGAACGGTCACTAAAGGAACTATTATAAGTCAAAGACTAACTGTATAAGTCAGTGGGGGCTAACCTTTTTCGCCCCCTGTGCCAAAAATTGTGTGCACACTCGCACAGGTGTGCTTGCGTGCCAGCACCCAGAAGGCAATGCGCACGCCCCCCCCAGCCCCCCGCGCCCGCGCGTGTGATTTCCCCCCTCCCATCCCCTTGCCTGCACTGCGCCCCCCCCACCCCCACCCGCAGCTGATTTTCGGCCTCGCAGAGGCTTGAGGGAAGCCTCTGCAGCCTTTGCAAGCCGAAAAATGGGCCTGTTTCGTCACTTCTGGTATTTCCGGAAATACAGGAAGTGATGAAATGGGCCTATTTTTCGGCCTGCAAAGGCTGCAGAGGCTTCCCACAAACCTCTGCGAGGCCGAAAAAGGCCCGAAAATCAGCTGGGAGGCGTGCGCAAGCATAGTGAGGTAAGTTTGCCTGGGGCTCGCATGCCCGCACAAATGGCTCTGCGTGCCATAGGTTTGCCATCATGGGTATAAGTAGTCCTCGCCTTACAACAGTTCAGTTCCAACCTTTGAAGCCTCCCTAGGCTCATGTGATTCGAATTCAGATGCTTGACAACTGCTTCATACTTATGACCGTTGCTGTGTCCCAAAGTCATGGGATTAAATGGTTTGTGTGATGTGGCGCCACCGGGGTGGGGGCCTGTTATTTTATTAATGTATTATTTGATCATTTTCTTTTATTAGTTTTATGTTTTTTATAAATATATGATGTTTTTATATCCTTGTAAGCCACCTTGCGTCGCCATGTGCGAATAGGCGGCAACGTACATTTTCTAATCAAAACAAATAAAACAAAAATCCCCTTTTGCGATCTTCTGACAAGCAAAAAAAAAAAAATCAACGGAGAAGGAAGCGCTTCAGTTCACAACCATCTTACTAGCTTATCAACTGCGCTGATTCGCTTAACAACGGTGGCAAGAACGGTTGTAAAATGGGGCAAAACCCTCTTCACAAATGCCTCACTTAAGAACAGAAATGTTGGACTCAATTGTGATCATAAGTCGAGGACTACCTGTGCCGTAGTTCCTCTCCTGTGGAATTGCAGTCTTGACATGCTCTGGAACCCTCCCATGGCAGGTTTCAAAAATGGATTGGAGAACTTTTTGGATGGATCACCCGTAGTCCTCGACTTACGACCACAATTGAGCCCAACAACTCTGTTGCTAAGCCAGGCGTATGTATCTTAAGTGATTTTTGCTGCATTTTATGCCTTTTTTTGCCACAGTTGTTAAGCCAATTGTTGCAGTTGTTAAGAGAATCATGCGGTCGTTAATTGAATCTGTTTCCCGCCATTAACTTTGCCTGTTGGAAGCCTCTGGGAAGGTCACAAATGGGGACCATGAGATCCCAAGACAGTGCAAGCGTGATAAATATGTGCCAGTTGCCCGTCTATTTCGATCACCTGACCACGGTCGTCAGTGTGAAAAACGGTCATAAGTCACTAAACAAATGGTTGTATGTCAAGGACTGCCTGTATTTATCTTTCAGACCGCTCTGCCTTGAGGACTACAGACTTCCAGGGAATTCCACTTAAAACTGCCCGCTTAAAATACTCCCTTGCATTAAGTCTTTTCATCAATTTTATATATTATATTTAGAATGATATCCTGCCTTTATTTGACATGGCACTCAAAGCAATGAACATAATGTTCCTGATCCGTATTTTTCCTGTCACAACAACCCTGTGAGGTAGGCTAAGCTGACAGGCCCAAAATAATTTTGCAGACTTTCGTCTCTACATTTTTAAGCCAACATCTTGACTCTTTTTAAATACCTCCGTAACGTTACTGTTGCCATATTTGACACATAGGAACAAAACATGTTACCACTTGCCTGTTTTTATATTTTATGTGGCTGAGATACTTCCTTTTCTCTGGCACAGTATGTATATTTATCTTCCTTTTTTTTTCTTCTGTTCCTCCAGATAGGTTTAAAGTGGCATGCAGAGGTCCATTTTACTCTTGCAAAAATCCCGCCTAGCGTTAATAAAACTCCAGAATTAGGTCCAAGGAACACTCATTATTACACTATAACGAACAGGGAATGCAATTCTCTTATTTTAATTAGTGTAACATTAGAAGATTCTGAATAGTAAGAATAATTTATGGTGGAACCAATGATCCACCCTTTTCTATAGAGGAAATGAAATTCTAGAAGTTAAAAACAAACGTGGACATGTTTTCAGAATCAACAACACCAACAGCAAAAAAAAATATTGCGTATTATAAAAAGAAATGCCTTAACCTTAACTTTGTCTCACAACCGCCTATGTATAAGATGTGTTATTTCACAACTATTGCCTGCAGTTTGTAATATAAAACTCAATGGAGCAAGCTAAATTTCATTAAAAGACAAAAAGCAAGGGATATAGCCTGCAAACAGCCTCAGTGACAGAATTTCTGGAGAAAAGACTAGAAAAATAATACATTTTCAGATTAAATTGTGGAACAGTGTTTTTTTTTTAACCATGGCAACTTTAAGATGCTGGCTGGGGAATTCTGGGAATTGAAGTTCACAGGAGAGGAACGTTTTTAATTTCTACAAGAAGGGATAATGTATCTGATTATTTTTCCTAAAAATCACTATCATCTGAATACCCTTTGTCTCTTTCAGCCATCGTTTATGATATCGGAGTGATTATCTGCGGGTTTGAGACATTCTAGATGTAGACTAGGATAAGGTTTCTCCATATTGGCCAATTTTAAGACTGGTTGGGGGATTCTGGGAGTTGACATTATTGGAAGAAAAATAAGATCAGTTTCCAAACCAGGAAAAAGACTCTGGAAATAAAATGTAAACAGGCTGCAGGAAAGAAAGATCTCCATTTATTTGGTAGCCAGAAACTTCAGTGACAGCAACACATTTCTGGGGTGGCTGACAAAATGGGGTTGAGAGGAGTTGGGCTTTTATACATTCTTTGGGGCTTTGTGATTGAGATGCCTATTCCCACACAAGAACGTATCCTTCAATATTTTAATTGAATTGATTCCAATTAAATCATGTAGATCAGGGGTGACAAACTCAAAGCCCGGGGGCCAGATCCAGCCTGCAGCGGGCTTAGATCTGGCCCGTGGGGCCTCCCTGCAAAGGACCAGCCTGTGATGCTTCTGCCAGCAAAAATGGAAGATTGCAGGAGGCCAACGCAGCCGAAATCTTGTAAGTGTTTTGTTTGCCTGAGCTAATCTTGTCAGCTCCTTGCCTGTCATGTTGCTTATTTGGAGTTTCTGATTGCTCTTTGCTTGTGAATAGAGTGGCTCAGTCTTTCCGAACTGATACAAACTCTCCATTCCTAAAGACTAGCCTCTTCGGGATTCTGCTTGAGGCTGTTTTCCTCCAGCAGGAAGACCGGGGCTGCTTCCTGCCTTTAAGAACATGTCTCTCCTCTTCTCCTTCAGGGCAAACATTCTATTCTGCCTCGTTTTAATATTAAGAACAAAGAATATTTTATTCTGGGGAGGTGGGAGTGCTTTCCTACAACATCCACATGTATTAAAGTTGCCAAGGTTGAGGAACTC